ACACACACACACACACACAAGTACATTCTCAAAATTTCCATTAATTCTTCTCCTTCCTTTTTAGGCAGTCACATTATAACTTAAATTCAAAACTTAATAAAGTATTTCTAACTAGGCATTAAAATATGAACAGGTTTTAAGTCATTCTTCACAATGTGTTTTGGACTAAAGATCTTCTGCCTACTCTTGCATGTTCATGGGTTGTCTACCAATATAGCTGTGGCTACTAAAAACTAATTATATTAGCAAAACACAACATGAATTAAAAATATAGTTATGAACTGCATAACATAACAAATGTGCTATGGACTCCACTAATAACACTAATGTGTGCTTGATGTCATTCTTTCTCCAGATTCTGGCGGTCATTCATATAGAACTCAAAGAAGATGGCCAGAAAGGCGAGTGAATGGTCGAAGATTGCAAGTAATAGATGAAGGTAAGGCTGAGCCATCACGGCAGGTTGGGGTTAATAGTATTTAATATTCTATATATTTATGTACTTATATACCCCTACGTTCACTCTCTGGTTAAGAAAATAAATTAATTTTTTGCAAGAATAGTTACCTTATATTATTATTTTTTCTGTATTGGTTTATAAAGATCTTTCTTGAACGTTTCAAAAATAGTTTTTACTATAATTCACCTTTTTTACAAAGAAATTGTAATTGAACTGTGATAAAACACAACATTAACATCAAATAATTACACAGATATCTAAAAAATATAGGGAACTGGTGATAGTGCATGAACCAAACAACAACTTGTTATGTGAATAAATTCTACTCTTTCTTTAGTGTTAGTTTTATCAGCTTAATACGAGGGGTGTCCGAAAAGTTTGTGGCCCGACCTATAAAGAAAAGAGATACTAGTTTAAGTATGATTTATTTTTCATTATAATCTCCTCCTAAGTCTATATATAGCACCAGCGATGTTTCTAAATCCTTTATGCCCCTCTGAATAATGACTAAATAATCTGTACGAGATCATCATTACTCTGAAATTTTCGACTTTCAGAAAGATTTTGAAATTAGGGAAGATAAACAAAGTCACTTGGAGTTAATCCGGTAAGTGTGTTGTTGAGTAATTCTAATTCAGCATCATGGATAGCTTTCAAAGCAACACGCAATTTGTGTCCTGATGGAAGAGCGCGCCTTTTTTAAAAATCTTCATTGATTTCTTGAAGCAAGTTGTTGATTATAAATGCATAGTAATTCACCTGTAATAGTTTGACTCCTTTCCAAATAATCAACTAGTAAAACGCCCATGACATCCCCAAAAAGTTGATGTCATGACCTTCCCATCAGAGGGTTGTGACTTAAACTTCTTTGGGGTGGGTAAACTTGGGTGTTTCCATCGCAAACTTCAAATTTTTGTCTCTGGGTCGAAGTGATAAACCGGTAGTTACGAATCTATTGAAACCTTTGGAGTAGGCGTTGGCTTTCAACAACTCGGATCCGTTTCTGCTCAGATGACAACATGTTTGGAACCCATCTGACACTAACCTTACTCCTGCCCAAACTGTCACTCAAAATGCTTTCTACAGTACTTTTATCGAGTCCCACTTCCTCTGTTAACTTCATAATGGTAATGCTTCTGTCATATATAACCAAATAATGAACTTTATCTACAATTTCTCTTGTACTCGATGGTTGTCTACCGCGCTTAAACTCATCACACCACTTCTTTCACTGTTGAATATACCGGAGCGCCCTCTCCTAATTTTGCTTCCATGTCCTAGAGGATTTATTGTGGTGTCATTTTCATTTTAACAAAATATTTGATCACGACACAAAGTAAGATTTTCTCCATGATGTTTAACACTGCTAACTTCTTTCCTTAAAAAATTCACAGCGCATAAAATAAGCTCGTTAAGTTGTGTGTTACGTGATGTTTACTCATAAAAAGGGTTAAACTTAATATATGTCAGAAAAAAATCATACATTTTTTTAGATCGGGCCACGAGCTTTTTGGACAACCCTCGTATATATGTACAATATTATTGTTATTTATTTATATGCCTTTTATTATTATCATTATTTTGTACTGATGGCTTAGTATTTGGATTTAGGACTAATTTAAATCTTTTAAGTTGCTGGATCTCGTGAGATATTATTAAAATTAATATATTTAATAGCAAGGGGTACCGATCTGAAGTACTGTTGCATTCTAATTGTTGCAAGTTTTTGTTTTATGACTTTGCACACACCTAGATAGAACAGTTTACTAAATAAGGTCTGTTAATTACTGAGCCGAGCGTGGCCTAGTGAATAGCCTGCCTGAGTGTGGATCTCCGTGATTCCTCAAATATAGAAATGTCTCTGTCCTTTGCATTATAAGAATGGCGGTTAAATCCAACTATTCAGTCTAACAAGAATAGCCTAAGAGCTGGCGGTGGGTTGTGTACGCTAACCAACTTCGCTCTCTTATCTTATTTTACGCGAAATTGAATAAAAAAAGAAATATGTTTTAGATTTTAGTTCTGATCTATGTAGGTAGCCTGCTGTGATCAAAAATTAATGATTAACTTAACAATATGAATGTGTAGGCAATTTTAAGTACTTTAGATAATTTATCTGGATAGTACACATTTTAAATTTTAGCATCTGTAATACAGAAAGTTTCATGAACTACAGGGTAGAGGCGTGGCTAGTATAGAAGTTAGCGCCCCTGGTAAGCAAAGTGCGGCGTCATGTAACAAGTGTGAAATCCATGAACATAAAGTTAAATGTCAAAAGCTGTTCACGTGTCCCAGGCAAGAGTACGTAACATAATCAAGAAGGATCTCAGTCTGGAAAAGTGACACAAATCACCTTTTATACAGGTTGTTTCCACTACATATCCGTTCAACCGTCGCATACCTCAAGCATCTGGAGAATGAAATACACTTAAGGATTTCAGTCCGATCAGACTGCTTAAACGGTCGCTGAGAAAATCCTGGTTCACTAGATAACTCGGGGAAAGTTAGCAGGGATGAGGGATATGCTTTGCACGTAGCAATTTTACGATGGGGCCTTTTGCAAACTGTCACTCTTGAAACAGAACACAGCCATAACATTTTTGTGATTGATACAAATTAAATAAAAAGTTAGGTTCAATAATGTTTAAAGTAAGCTTATTAATTTTCCATCATAATTTGCTTGATAATCCAACATTTGTAAACTTTTAGCCCCCAGTGGCACAGCGGTATGTCTGCGAGCTTACAACGCTGGAAACCTGGTTTCGATACCCGTGGTGGGCAGAGCACAGATAGCCCATTGTGCAGCTTTGTGCTTAATTAAAAACAAACAAACTTGTAAACTTTTATCAAGTACAATCAATCGTGTATAATCAGTGTACATACAAGTCTTATTATAAGTAGAAATTTTAGATGAATCATTCATATATGAAGAAGAAAACAAATAACCCAAAATGTAACTGAGTTGCACTACTTTTTTTCGATCAGATTGCATACAGTATTAGATGGTAATCTGGATATGGGAATCCAAGTTGGAAGAACCATGTCGATGAAAATGGACTGTTGGACTGAAGGACTTTGTAGATTAAGTTGAATTTTGAAAAACAAATTTAAGCATTTATTCTCAACAGATTTTGAATTCGATGCTTTCTAGAAAAGAAAAAAAAGATATGCCAGTTTGAACGGTAAAAAAAATGATATTTTTACGGCCTCGTCAAAGTTTTCGTAAATCATGAATTTTTTGCGTTCCCGATTAGTTTAATTTACTTTTACGGATAGGAATGGGAAGAGCCAGGCTCTAGAGGAAAAGAGAATATAATCAGGACTATCGTGTTTCTCTGTGCAAGTTTCGTGTTAGTTTCAAAGATTATTCTCAAACAAATGAAATTATTAAGCTGCAAGAAATGCAGGAATTTGTCGTTTATAGTTTTGTCTTCCGCGAGAACAAATAATATTAGTTCATATACATGATTTATTAGCCAAAAAATATGAACTGGTAAAGTCTTTGGCAAGAACCTATAGGAAACTTTATTGATGAAGAAGTTACGTCGATTTTGTATTGTACCCAGAAAACCATATTTTTGTTGTTTGGGGAATTTCGTTTGTAATATTAGAACTTAAAGAAGGTAAACAAAAATGACAGTACGTATTTTTTCTCGAATTACACTACATATAAATTGTCTCACAGCATGTTCGTGGTATCTCTAGCGTGAATCTTCTACAAATCCAGCTAACATGCAAAGTCTATTACTTTTTCATACTTCAGGTTTTGACAAAATTGCACCTTTACAACGAGATAGCGTAAACTTCTGTTAATAGGTTACAAGAGTGTGTTCTTGATTAGAATATGAAGATTACAAAGCACCTAGTCGGTAAATAGGGACACGTGTTGGAGTCTTCTTTGGTTTCAGTTTTAGTTTCATTAGATAATCTTGATTTGAGAGCATCTAGAATTTTGAAATCTGTTCTTTATCAACCAACGCATAGCTAAATCGTAGTAGTAACCGTAGCGTACATAAAAATAAGAAATAACCTTAAAAAAATGTTTGTGTTTTTCTTTTGTTTCTTCTTCCAAACACTTTTCAATCGACTGCTATTCCTTCATTTCTCGGCGGATTGACTTGAAACGTGGTAAGGTTATACCTTGGTCCAATACGCCCAGACACCCTTATCTTTTTTCATTTTGATGTAGGCCTTTTTATGGATTTTATGAGGTCAAAGATCAACCAATCCAAAATGTATATTTTGGGCACCTGTGCGGTCATATTTACAGCAATAAAAATGAAAATTGGCACAAATAAATATTTCATGCGCTCAACATAATAACGTACAAAAAAAGTTGGATTTGCCCATTTTGAATATTTTTAGGAGGGGGGGTCATATCTTATAAAAAAGCATAATTTTGGGGGTTTTGGTCAATTACTCGGCCACAATTCGACCAATTTCCATGGGATTTGGTATAAAGATAATCTTTGCAGGTCCCAAACAGAGATATAGACAGTTTTGGAATTTTTTTCTTTTGCTCAATTTTTCAGCGAGGAAAGCACGATTTGGGGTTTTCGTGAACTATTCATGTGTATGTCAACCAGTTACATGGGATTTGGTACAAAGATACTTTCTTGCAGGCCCCATAGTGACATAGACAATTTTCGTTTTTTCTGGTGTCAAAAGTGGTCATATTGGGATTACATATCGGGGACATGTTGCATTCGCCCGCGAATGTTGACTTCTTTAGTTTTTAAAAGCATTCTTGCAGTTCCTTTCTGAATTAGTGAGGTTTGGACTTTTTTTCACCGTTAATGCTTCAAATGTGCATGCTGAAAACGGTTCCCATCTTCCGAGGAAAATTTGACCGGTATGATGGTGAACAAAGTAGTCGGGAAGAATGATGTGTAACTTGTTTTACATAGTTGAGCCGTCACTAGAACTTTTATGATTGTTTAGACTATTGTTTCTCAACATTTTCGATACCAAGACACCAT